TGTCAGATCCTCATACGCAGAAACCGATGGGAGAATCCATTATATATATAAGTGGACATTGAAGTCAACACTTAGAGGTGACAGGCTGTTTCATGCTAGACGCAATTGTGGCCTGATGATTGCATCTATCATGAAACATCCTGTTGCCTCTAAGTGTTGACTTTAATGTCCACTTTTTACACATGCTCTATCTCTGATATTGAGCATTTTATCCCATAAATATAGCACACCTTAAGAGTATATTTCTTCATATATATATATATATATATATATATATATATATATATATAAAAAAAAGGCTTAAACACTAATATTCCATGGTTATAATCTATTATATTGGAATCAGAATTACGATCCAATTCATAAGACCTAGAAATTCAAAAAGAAATCAGAAAAAGAAAAAATAACTCCGGGAATAATAATAATTATATATATATATATATATATATATACACACATATGCATAAAATATAAATTCCCGAAAATATTTTTACATTATGTTGATAAAGAAAATCTTATATATATCACATAATTCTCTGTGAGGTACAGAATTTTATTATACCAATAAAAACAGTTAGACTTGTTTTACTTTTCATGATTAAAAAGAAAACTGAAAAATAAAACAAAAACAGCCAACCAGTGTTGCCCTCACTCAACAGAGCTGGATGCAAGAAAAATAAAACATAAAAAATGATGTCTAATATCCTAAACAAGAAATAAAGGATAAACCTCTATTCCAGCTTAAAAGACCAAGGAGGAGTATGAACTGGACAATAAGTGAACCTATCCATTCCTATTTATCTCAAGATTCTTGACAAACTTCAAAGAAAGGTTCGTCATGTAACAAATCCTGACCGGGCATCTCAACATGAGTCACTTTCTTGAAGAATTTAAATCACCGATTTTTTATTTTCAAAATCGGACCTGGTCATACTGAAAATCTGTTTAGAATCAAAAAATAAAAAACGCAATAAAACTAAGACAATATTTAATTAGAGAAGATTTTAGGATGTACAAACCGATAAATCTATTCTTAAAAGGGTCACATATTTTAAGGGTTGTCCTCCCTCATGGAAAAAAAAGACAAAACCCTAATGAAATTTATTGTCTGCTACACCATAATTAAATATGAACACATTCAGTAGTCAATCTACTGCCAATAAATTGATTAACACATCAGAAAAATAAGACCATATATTTAGCAAATGCTTGTATACAACATTTTATACAAGAAGTAATATTTGTTTCAAATCAGATTAACTAAACTTTAAACTTGTGTCAGAATTATTATTTTTAAAAGATTTTTAAAACAGAAAATTAAGTTTTGTTTACAAATGTATAAAAAAAAATGTCTGACATTATCGATTTTACTGGAAAAAAAAAAAAATGTAAGTCTATTTCAATCAGTATAGTTCAATAGATATACCGAGAGATATTACACTATGAGACGCTGGAAGAGTTAAGACAGAGCCCGATAAACATACCAAGAGACAAGGTAGGATTTTATTAAAATTCAGAATGTTGTTTTCTTTCATGAATAAACCATAAAAAAAAGGGAATAGGGCTGACAGCTTTATTATTTTGAGGAATCTAACCAAAAAAGCCATCTGGATAATTCAAACTCATGAGGGATGAGGAGTGGTGGTGTAATAATGAGTTTGTCAAAATGAAAACTGAAGTGAAGGGCTCTGGTGAAATATCAAGTTGATGGAGAAATTAACCACTTCAGTGGTATTGGTATGAAGTACTAATACGAGGAGGGACTTAAGGTGGATTGATATCCTGCTCCTTCTTAGGAGGAGGGATCTCTCCAAAATTGGGCATGTGATTAATTTTCCAGAGTCAGATGACAAAAGACTCTTTTTAGAGGTTAGGGGATTTACCAAACCCCCAGGCCCCATCAGACTCTACACCAGTTTTGGATGGATATCCCTATAAACAGAAAGTGGAAGTAACCAACACGCCAGTTGTTCCAGACACCGGACAAGAGACAACCACTTCACCTGATCTCACATGACTTCCTATCTGAAAAAGCCTCCAACTTTGAGCAGAATTCCAAAAAACTTGACTAGACTTAGTCACAATGAACAAAGTATCACAAAATATTCAAAGAGGGAAGGGGAGTGCACAAGGCTAGCAAGGATTAAATTGTTGACAAACACAATGTGGGGCAAGGCAACAGTCAGCTGCAGGGATCAAAAATCAGAGTGATGAAGTGGACATCATAGATTTTAAAAAAAAAAGAAAGAAATACAGAATACAAACTTATACCCTAACTGTTGGTAAGACAGAGTTCATAGCTCATAATACATTGGAACAAAGGGATTAATTAACTAATAAATTAAGGAGAAAGATATATATATATATATATATATATATATATATATATATATATATATATACATACATACATACACACACACACACAGAGAGAGGGTGCGATTGGTAAATTGTCGCCATTTCATTTTTTTTTTTTTTTTTTTTAATTTCGCACATGCATTGTTTGTTTTTGATTTTGTTGACTGCACAGTATAGTAGAGTAAGTTGAACACTGTCAGAAAAAGAACATCATGACAAGTCACTGTCAGAAATTTGGAAATGGCATGCTGTACTGTTTGGAATTCATGCCAGAAGATCCAATACATACATTTCAGATTGTTTGGGTGTCAATCTGAGAACAGTCCAGAGGATTCAGAAAGAGTTGGATGAGTCTAAACTTTGGAGTGATCACGAGGGAAGTTATGTCTCCATTCATCTTCCCACAGAGCCTCAACAAGGAGGCCTACATCAAGTGCCTTGATGAGGTAGTGCTGCCCTGAATCAAAAGGGTTGCTGTTAGAAGACCCTACGAGTAACAACAGGACTCTGCACCATACCACACAAGCAGAAGAACCCAGTGATGGCGGGCTGACAATTTCTGTGACCACATCAACCCGCACCCAACTCCCCAGACTGCAATTCCCTTAATTTGTGTGGGGCGCAATTGAGCGAGATACCAACAAAACTCCTTGTAACATCAAAGATGATCTGAAGATGAGGATTATGGCATCATAAACCAACTTAAACAAGAAAACTGTCCAGAAGAGACGCGGAAGATTTCAAAGTGATCTGAATGCCGCGGTTGAAGCCAATGGTAATTTTATTGAATAAATTTACTCGTAGTATTTCAAGATATTTTTGTGTAATTTTATTAAATATATCTATTAAAATGAGACGCCAGTATTATTTTCATTTTTGCATAATTTAGATGACAATTTATCCATCGCATCCTGTGTTGAATTATTTTCGATGTTGTTACAGTTCTTTTGTCACCACAGCCTTTATCTTCTTTCAATTTCTGCATCTAAATATTTCTCAGTGAAATAATGTTTTCAAACTAAACTGCTGACAACATTTTTATAACATATGTCACAGATTTTTTTTCAAAGTAATAAACTGAGTTTAAAAAAGTTAAATTCACAGCCATTCTCCGGTTCAGACACAAATCAAAGGTCTAACGAAATCATGGAAGGTTGTGGGAGTGAAACTTTGACCTTGTAAAAATATTCAACTGATACACAAAGAAAAAGCAAAGGAAAAGAAGAAAACAGATGTCAATTCAAAATTTCCAAGTTGAGTTGCTTTACAAATTTTTTTTTGCCTTTTTTAGTCCAGTTTCTTCAAATAAAGAGAGTTTTCATACAACAAGAAATAGACACGAAGATTTCTTAATAACTCCTCTTACTATATCAACTCAGACTGTTACATCAGTCTACTACCTGTACTATCATGCAGACTGACTACCATTGTCCCTTTTATTATACCTGGCACATAGATGTAATAGTAAACTCAAAATACACACAAGTATTTAACAGAAAAATGCTCAGCTCGATATGAAAGTGTGTTATTTGAAGAGTATAAAATTTCTAATAACTTAAGAATTATATATGTTTAAAAGCTGAAACTTTGCAATAATTTAATATATGCTTTAAAGACTGTGTAAGTTTTATCTTTCTCTTTAAATTATTAGTTAATTAAATTTTAAGTTGGTATCCACTCAGTAAGGATATCATCACTTATTAATAAAGATATGTTTATTTTGTCTGATTAATAAAATATGTTCCAAGAATGTGTCTGCTGTATTTTGAATCAGTTTAATTTTTGTTCATTTTAGCAAATGTTAATTTATATAATTTTTTTTTAAAGTTTTTCTTCATAAATACAAATTAACAAGAACTCTTTCTGCCAATTAAGCCCATTATAGATTGGATTAATTTGTTTACTGGTTATCAACCTTTTGCAGGTTATTTAAACCCAAAAAAGTATTTTTAGATAAGAATTTTTTTTTTTTTTTTTTTGAGATAATCATGATTTATTGGTACATGTCCTACTAATCAACCTGTGGAGAGAAGATGTAGACTCATACCTTTCCCAAGGGTATTTGCATGTGAGTAAATATAATAAACCTGGAATTGAAACTTGGCTCTCAGATTTTCAATTCCAAGCCATTATTCTACTACACATCCATTGCACTACCCTACATCCAATCTTACAGCTCCTGCATTGTTGTTTACATATGGACTATTATCCTCATCTTTGTTGTTGCTATCACCTTTCTGCCAAATTCACAAACCAACACATTAATCCACTAGGCTATTATTCTGTAGTGAATTTGGTAACATATAAATTGTAAGTTCAATCCGAGCCCAAGCAATGTGTACTTGGACTCAGTTGAAACAGACAAGCAATAAGAGTGGTACTAAAAATAAGAACAAGAACAGCCTGGATTAAATGAAGGATTTATATCAGAATTCCCTGTAGATTATCCAGATCAATATACTCTTGAAGGCCGGAGGGCACAACGACTGGAATGTTGTGATAACAACAACAAAGATGAGGACAATAGTTTGAATGCAAATCAATTAAGATTTTATTTTTACATGCAAAATAACATGACACTAAAAGTTATTTTCTTTGGCAATGTTAGCTTCTTGGTTGGGAAAAAAAGAGCTTTTACCTACCTTGATAATTTGTGTCAATATATGAATGATTTCTTCATAGATTTTATCAATATCTTCTTCCAACACATCAGCTGCACGTCTGTTTCTCTTGGAGATGAGAGATTTAGACTTTGGCATCCTTCCTCTCATCCTTCTTATTCTTTGTCGTCTCTTTTTCATCCATTTCCTCCTCCCTGCATTTCCATGCACTGCACTTGCAATTTTACCCCAATGTTTCAGAATCTTGCCCAATGCCCACACTTTATACGAGTCACTTTGAGATTCCATCGACAATTTCAGAATCAATTCCTTTGCAGAAGTTATTACAGGTGGAAGGAGGCTGAAAAGGTTTAACAAAGTCTAATAGATTAATATTTCAAAATCAAATTTTCAAAATGTCATCATTGTTTTTTTGTTTTTTTTAATCATTTCACCCCAAGCAAGGCAATAAAGCCACTAGGATGCAAGAGTTTACTGAGTGTTAGAGAATATGAGAAAACTACTGTTAAGGAGAGAGAACAATAAAAGAATAAGAATTACAAAGACAGAAGAACTCTGTGACATGACACTGAAATATTAAGAATATGTTTTCTCCCAAGATTTATTCAAGACTTACAGGGAGGATTTCCTTAAAGAGCTGGAAATCTGACAATGAGGTGGGCACAATTGGTGGGCACAATCTTAGCAATGCAAGATATGCAGATGATATGCTGTTGATGGTAGACACAAAAAGAAAATTGCAGGAATTTCTAGACAAGTTAATGAAGGAAAACAGAAAAAAGGATTAATCGTCAATTGTAAGAAGACAGAATGTATTGTTGTCAACAAGAGAAAGCCCCAGATATCAGCTTTGAATTGGAGACATCAAAATCAAGCCAGTGTAGAAGTTTAAATATCTGGGAAGTGTTTTAACAGAGGTTGAAAAATGTGGCATTGAAATCTGAAGGTGCATTGGAATAGAGAAAGAAACATTCTAAAAACAGCAATTGAAAGAGACAGAATGCATATTTGTTGGAAAGAGAAAAAGCCCAATATTTGAACAACAAAATGGAGATGTCAAAAACAAACAAGTACAGAAGTTTAAATAACTGGCAAGTGTTTTAACAGAGGATGGAAAATGTGACACTGAAATCTAAAGGTGCATTGGAAAGTAAAAGAGTATTATGAAACAGGAAAATTCTTGTCAAAACTGGGCAAGCTATGTGGAGATAATCCATGAACTAAGGGACTATTTACATTATTAAGACTATTGTCCTCATCTTTGTTGCCATATTTATCACAATGTTTCGGCCATTGTACGCTCAGGCCTTCTTCAGGTGGTTGGAATGTCGAACTGAACCCTTTATTTTGCGTGCTCAAGGACAGATGGCACAGTGGATAAAGGCGTTAGTTAGATCCAGTGACAGAACCCAATGAGTGTGAGTTCAATACCTGGTTAAGGTGGTGGAGAACTTGGAGAGGGGAATTAACAGGAGATAACTGATAATTGACATCCATTAGACATGGCATGTGGAACTAGAACAGTCTACCACAATGAGTGAAATAAAGGGTTCAGTTCAACATTCCAACCACCTGAAGAAAGCCAGAGCATACAACGGCCGAAACGTTGTGATAAATATGGCAACAAAGATTAGGAAAATAGTTTGAATAATGTAAATAGTGTACATAATACCTCATCTCAGAAATATCGACAGATATTAAATTCCCCTTTTCTTATGTATTAAGTTCAATCCCTTATAGAACATTTAAATAATTAGTATAAATTTGATATAATTTAAATTATAAATTTAATATTTGGATATTATTAATTTTGTATAAAGATACTTAGATTAAAAATAATTTAATATATTAATAATTTACTTACTGAATTTTTTACTGTAGTTTTTACTATATAGTTAAAGATATAGTTTTGAATGGATTAATATTAGTATCTTTTTATGAACAAAACTTCCTTTTTACAATAAGTATATATAACAGTATTAATTTTAAATCCTTGATTCCATTCTACAATCATTTAAACTCCTGTTTGTAATTCTTTTATCTTCATTTTTTTATCTTGCTTTTTTTCTTTTCAGACATGTGTTGATATGTTACATTTAGATCAGTATTCATCTTCAGTCGTCATTTTCATCTAGACCAATTCCACCATAACCACCTCAGTCTCTTTACCTCTCTATAACTCCCTCCCCCCTTATATGTTATTTATTTCTATCTTCCCTTTGTTAACCTGACAACTACTATTTTTTATAATATTAAATTTCCTATGATAAATATGGCGACAAAGATGAGGACAATAGTCCAAATAATGTAAATAGTGTACATAATACCTCATCTCAGAAATATAGACAGATACTGAAGGGCCGAAACGTTGTAATAAATATGGTGACAAAGATGAGGACAATAGTCCGAATAATGTAAATAGTGTACATAATACCTCATCTCAGAAATATAGACAGATACTCAATAAAGGGTAGAAGAAAGAAACAATTTTTTTCAAGTAAAACTGGCTGCAAATAATTTGTTTTAACTACCTTTTCTTTGGAACATTTGTAGTGAGTCCCAATAAAAATAAAATATATAAGCAAAACTAAAAAGAATTTAAATTAAAATAAAGTATTTGCACTTTCCTTTAAAACTCTTATATCTTTCTTTCTCTCTCTGAACTTTTCTTTCTATACTTCTCACAACTCACAAGAAGGCGACCCTCAAATAAAAAGAAGAAAACACTGAACATGGCAGAAAAACACTGGAATTTTGCAGGATCATTGCCTACTTATTTGTGACTGAAAAATACCAAAAATCAGGGAGTCTCCACTCATAACTTCCATTATAAAAAAAAATGAAAAAGAAAAAACACTGGAAAATAAAATAATATCGGCCAGTTAAAAAAATTGACACAAAGAAACTTTGATATTAGCTGAAACTAATGTTTGCACCAGAATCTCAGAGCCTGGTCAAAAGCAAGCATATAAACTAACACCTCTGAGTGAGAAGCAAAAAGAAAGAACCACAACAGAAGATGAAGCAAAAGAACACTGCCATGGGGAAACCAGCCATGCATGATGCATGAAGTAGTAGTTAAGAGGTCATCTGCTAATGATATTTCTCACCTGCTTAGATGCAAGAAAAACATAGTAAATTGACACTAACCTATTTCTGATATTACTACTATCCCTATCATGGTCTTACTTCAAAATACCACTACCGGACATTTTTCCACACTGTTACTAATATCTGCTTTATAAATGAACATTTTTGTGACACTGCATATCAAAGGACTTACTCAATACTCTAAAGAAAATAAATAAAAATATATTATTTATTTTATACCAATGAGTCAGTTCATTTTATTCCTGAAGTCATAATTATTCGACCAAACATTGGCATATTGAATCAAGAGATAACTGACAAAAATAATGAATCAGGTAAAAACAATATCACTCACCTGTCAATTTCAGCAGCAGTTTTTAAGATATTTTCTGTGTGTCCTTTGACCCTATTGACCAATATTTGGAGTTTTCTTTTCTCTTTGAAAGTTAGTGGAGTGGTTGTTGGTTTTGGAAGTTTCTTTAAAAGGGTATAATTAAGTTGGGTAAGTTCTTGAAGCCTCAGCTGGCATGACTAAAAAAAAATATTAACAAAGATTAGATAAAGAAAAATATATTTGCAAAGATAATTGCTGTGTTTATGAAAGAAAAAAAAATCAAAGAAACTGTTTTGCTTAATGTGGAGTAGTTGGCCATGGTTAAGTGTAATTAGGAAAAATGTTCAACAAATAGAATTGACAAGGTTCTTAAAAATCAATAAGAAAATGAAGAAAAAGGACACGAGTAAATAATATAAAGTAAACAATATATATATATATATATATATATATATATATATATATATATATATATATATATATATATATTTTTAATAAAAATGACAATAGGAAAACTGGTAATTGCTTCGTTTCGTCAATGGGACTTTATCAAAGCAAAATATTTTGCTTTGATAAAGTCCACATTGACGAAACGCCAAAGCAATTACCAGTTTTCCTATTGTCATTTTTATTCATAAATATTGTCTTCTACCAATTAAATCGGAGAAATTTTCATATATATATATATATATATATATATATATATATATATATGAAAGTCAAAAATTAAGCAAAGCAACAGTAATAAGGCAAAAAGTTCACAAAGTAAGAATGGTTGTTCCTCTGCAAAAGAGATACAGTCAAGTGATTATAACATTCTGATTTCAAGACAAAGAACATAAATATGGCAGTTGAGACCAACAATTGATCTAATTGTATTGGTTAGGAAGAAATCCCAGCATGCATCTGTAGGATTTGTTTATAAATTTGGGGAAGGGATGTTGACAGCAGTCATTCCTGCAAAGATTAGAAGCATCACTTAATGATTTTGTTTTCTTTTACTTAGAATAGCAAAAGGCAAAAATGGTTAGAAAAGACCTTGTTGTCTTCAGATTAACAAAAAGAGATAATTCTGCATTTACTAAAAAACAAGATCGTCTTCATAAAATAAAAATACTGAACTAATAGATGAACAAATTCTTTCATGTTGAATAGAAGTGGTTCGATTACTAGAAAGAAAAAAATGTTTGTTTTTTGTTTTTCTTTCCACTTGTGTTCTTAGGCGTTGTGGGGAGACACAGTAGTCATCTGTCAGCAGCAAGGCAAATGGAGGAGAGATATCTCATAGGCTCTAAGAGTGTCTGCCACCGAGTCACTCCATCATCATCTTGGTCTGTCTCTTGCTCTCCAGCCAAAATACCTGAGGGTGTATGCTCATAGGGCTGGTTAGTTGATAGGCATACAAGTGAAGTGTACAAACCACTTGATCCTCTGTCATTCTACGTGTTGTATGATTGATATTGCTCCTACCATATTTCTTATTACCTCATTCCTGATCTTGTCTCGACTGGTCTTGTTTACTGCTTTCCTCAGGCATTTCATCTCACAAGTAATCAGTTTCCTCTCAAGGAAAGAATATCAATATTTAAAAATAAATACTTTGTCCCATAATAATTGCTATAGTTAGTGTATGAAATATGTATGGAAATGTACCAATTATTTATTATGGGACAATAAATAAAAATATTAACAGATGAATCTCTGTCACATAATAATTGTTACATTTAGAATATGAAACATGTATACAAATGTAATAACTCTTATGAGACTGAAGTAATAATAACTATTAAAAAATAAATGAATTAATAAAAATATAAAGAAACAAGTGAATGAAATTATGATCTCTGTCCAATAATAGTTGCTACATTTTGTGTAAGAATGTGTATAGAACTGTAGCAACCATTTTGGGACTGCAGTAGTAATAATGATCTATTGTGAACAATAAAATGAAGGATTTAGAGTGAAGAAATGTTTATTTCTGAAACCAAAGACAATAAAATTAACATAAAACAGGAAAGTCCTTTTTTTATATTTCTTAAAACTTTTTCATACATTGTCATACCAAAAGTCATAAGAGAGGTGCTTAGTATCATATAAGATGACACAGTTCCACTAGCCCTTAACTTTGCAACTAAGACTTGCCTTGCCACACATATAGTAATGAACAAACCCTGATTACCTTCATATCCTGCTGTTGAAGACTTATGGCCATATCACTTTGAAACACTGGTCCCCATACAATCACTGAAGTTAAGCAACATCAAGCCTGGTCAGTACCTAGATGAGTAACCACTTGGGAATACCAGATGCTGCAAACTTCAATGTGCAGATGATATAATGGATAATGGCTCAAAATTGTTAATCGATGAACCAAGTTCCATTGGGTTCGTTATGTTCACTTACATGCAAATACCCTTGGGAAACGTATGAATCCACCTCCTCTTCCCCCATCTATGGGTTACTTTTATTACTAAATCATTATTATTTCAAAAAATAGAAAACTTACAATCGAAACATATTTCCTGGCTTTAAATAACCTGCAAAGGTTTGATAGGCCCTAGAAAATGAATGAATGAATGAGTCAATCAATCCATTGATGAGATGCAGGATCCACTCAAACAGCTTCTTCCCACAAACTGCTGGTCTGTGGAACCAATTCCCAAGAAGATGAATCTTTGATCACTACAATCTTAACCTGTTTATGTCTAGGGTTAACTTACCAACATATATGCAGAAACTATCTTCTTACTCAGTAACCCTCTACCTTGAGTGGCTTCTGGGCCTTGTACAGAGTGAACATCATTACAAATAAAAAATTTGTTGAAGCACTTTTGGTGAAATATTGAGCCATACTGTCTTCATAGGTCACCATAGCTTCCTAATATTCATAACTACAAGATTTTTATTATAAATAGACCTCCCCAGCACATACCATAAATGATTGACCTAATGATAAATAAATGTTCCTCAAACTAATTCTGGGAAACTCAGGCCTGATGAACAACAGATTCAAACCCATGCCATATGAACACATCTGATACCATTATAGAACAACCACCGGTCTGTATAGCGCTTTCTCCACAACTGGGGGTCTATAAACTTATATAAGGTCTGCACTATACCAAAACCCTACCCTCAACAACTGAAAGTTCATCAGACCAAACTACATGTTGACAGTCTTTCAAGACAAACATAATGATGCCATGAACCCTGATAATGCACTGTGTTCAATATTATAGTAAAAAGTTTACCATGGTAGGTTTTCTGCATCTATTTTCTATGAAAACTAAAGAACATTGGAATGACCTGCTGGATATATGTCTAGTAACTCCTGCATTGGATGCAATTTAAGTCAGTGTCTATTGTTTGTTACTACGGACTTTTATCCAAGTGCTCCAGATTTCAATTATTAATGACCCATTGTTGGCCACTGTACTGTTCACAGTGGGCAGTAATGACTTCCATCAGGTATTCCTGGCAAATACATGCTATCATATATAGAAGGGTTGAATCACCTTCATTCATATCTGATGAAGATATGGATTAAATTCAAATGATTAAATAAGGAACAATAAAGATTTCCTTATTTGATCATAGGATATCAAATATCATCAGGATTTCAGAAATGGAATGTCTCATTTGTCTGGCACCAATTATCATGGACTGTTTCAACTCTTCCCATAAGTAGCCTAACCAGGGTTCATACTGATTGAGTGTAAATGATATAGGTCAGGGCATTTCCATGACACCAAGGTATGGTGGTGCCACCTACCTTTACATACTTTCCCCATGACTTTTGGCACATCAATGTATATATTATTCACACACACACAAGAAAGAGGAAAGCTGTACTGAAGTTGGTAGTTAACACATCAGGGTTAATTATCTTTATTAATTGAAGTTTGGGGTTTAATTCCTGTACTGCAATATGTAATTGTAATTGTGCCAAAAAGCTTGACAGCATTGAGAAATATAATAGAGAATTGTTTGGAAATATCTGGAGAGTACAAAAATAAACAAAAGCAAAAGAAATTGCTAATGGAACTTCAGATGGAATATAAAATCTATATATAAAATTCTGCAACTTCTGTTAGTACATCCATCCCTCACACCATCTAAAATAGCCATACATTGACCAATCAAAACCAGATTTTGGGGAGAAGTGCAAACAGGTAAGCTGGTACAAAGTACAGTTGGTTTTACTAGGATGTATAGCTTAGTGCAATAAATTTTCATGAGTTTTTTTTGGAAAAATTAAGTTTTATTATTTAACATATAAAATAAGTTTACCACATCATCATTCTCATTTCTCTCAATACTACATTGGAGACAGATATCAAATGACTTAACCCTAGCCACAAACATCAGTCATACCTGCCCCCATTACACACCCTTTAACAAAAAGAGATTAACATTTGTAAGACATTTCCAAAGCCACTTTCATCTTAATTAACTGGTTGCAGTAACAGCAATATAATTAACAAGGCCAAATGCTTCAAAATGTCAGTATTTGGCTCCAGAAAGAAATATTTATGCATGGCCAGTTGTATGCTGCATGCTCAAGAGTAAGAAATCCTAAAGATTTATTCTTTGCTGTTAAAAAGGAAAAAAAAATTTCTTAAAAATATTGTTCAACATTTCCTATAAAATTAAAGAAATTATTAAACTGTCAAGTAGGATTTTTGTTGAAGTATTTTTCAAAAAAAAAAAAAAAAAAAATCAGCTTATTCAAATTTCATCAATAGGTTTGCAAAATTGAATGAATCTTTACAAAAAAATGTCAGTGATAACTTCAACAATGCTAAATACTGTAAAGATTTCAACATGTGTCAGCATGTTACGAAAAACTTCTAGTTCAATCAAAATATGCTTTCTTTAAAATAAGCTCCTCAGGTGTTAAACCAAGCATTTACATTGCTCTTATTTTACTGAATGACTTCCCTTGGAATATTTAAATTGATTTTGTCTGCAGTATGGCCTTTGGGAATTACAAGCCGTTTATGTTTTATATGAAAAAATGATGAAAGTTTCACACCTCTGATCAAGAACCCCTTTCAAAAAAAATAAAATTCTAATATATATGCTATTTATGCCTTTTATAGAGAAATGTACAATGTTTGTGTGAATATTTCTGAAACTCTCCAAAATGACAAAGCTGTCTTGCAATCCAAAGAAAATTTAATAAATAACACCATATTTAGATCATCACTATCATACCTTGTTTGAACTCTTGTTACCATGATACAAGCCTATGTTAGAACACAACTGAGAGAGGTCTGTGTATTTCCATGATGTATGGTGGTGCTATCTAACATTACCTCTATATACTGTTATCCCAGAACTTTTGGCATGTTAGTGTAAATTTTTTAAAATTCAGAAACTACACAAAAATGAAACTTAGCTGTAAAATTAACAATTGACTTTTTTTTATCATTTCACCTCAAAAAAGGCATTAATGTCACTAAGACACAAGGGGTTACTGAGAGTGAAAGAAAATGAGAAGACTTTAGTGAGGAGAAAGGATAATAAAAGAATAGGTTTCAGGGAGAGAGATGATAGTGATTAATATTGCATTTAAAGTTTTGAAGATAATAGGTGGCAGGGAAACAAAAAGCTGAAAGAGAGTTCCATAGGTGAGAAATACAAGAGAATAAACTATTAAACTAGTAGTTATGGTGGAATCTAGCTATTTAAACAGTAAAACAGTGAGACTTAGTTGCCAATCTAGTAGTACACTTAAATCCATGTGGTTAAGGTACCAGTTATGAAAGTTCATTAGAAGAATTGTCATGAAAATACTCATAGAAAAGGCAAAGGGAAGCAACATCCCAGTGGTAAGGAAGGTTAAGTGAAGGTGAAGTGAAAGCAAACTTGAGTGAAGGTGAAGTGAAAGCAAAGTTGAGTGAAGGTGAAGTGAAGTGAAAGTGAAGTGAAAGCAAAGTTGAGTGAAGATGAAGCAAAGTTGAGTGATGGTGAAGCAAAGTTGAGTGACGGTGAAGTGAGGTTGAAGTTGAAATGAAGTTAAGTGAGGGTAAAGTGAAGTTAAGTGTAGGTGAGTGAAGTTGAAGTGACTGAAGTTGAGAAAATGGAAAAAAATGTTTAACCTTTTGAAATGTTGTCACATCTTGATGAACTTGCTCAGTAATATGAAGTTGATGTCTGCTTTGGTAATTATCTGTTATCAGTTTATGCCTTTCATCCTGAAAAAGACACAAGTTACTATAGACTTGTTATTAAATCAAAAACACATTTAATATATTACAAATCAGTATGAAGGTTGTCTTGAAAATATTGCCTGTGCACTGAATTAGGAGGTATGGACCAATGATAATATGTGTGGGCTAATGAAAAATATGAGACTGAAACTTTCATGTTTAACATTACACTTTCTTCATTCCAATAATTTGTCAATTGCTTTAAGCCAGTATATAGTGCAGCACCCCCCACCACCACAAGCACTCATGCAGACATGGACCTTACATTTTCATCTGCAATATCTGAGAGGCTCCCAAACTCCTCGCTGAAGTGGTTGATTTTTCAATCCAGCATGCAGACATTCAGACACATCATTCTGCAAGCAATGGCTGGGAGTAATCTCTGGGTCCCTTGATGGTCTAGTGTGAAATGAGTGCAAAATCTATTTTGACATTACACTACACCTGTTTGTCATTCTTTGACAGCACTCTTCTAGATATGAATATTGTCCTGAGTGTATTACCCATTTCATCTTAAATTTTTAAATCAAAAGATGATGCTTTTTTACCACCAGATAGAGTAATTCTTATCATATATAATGGTGTCTGTTTTTTTTTTTGTTTTTTTTTATTTCAGGTGTTGTATAAATATGGATATAAAGTAGAAATTAAGATTAGTCATCAAGTTCTTGACCAAAGTGACTAATTAGGAAGTTTTAAGAAAAACTAAAATGAAAAGAACATTTATACTTAGATGAAGACACATAATGAGGAAAGGAGGCTTGGAGAATTTGACCCTCTCAGGACATATTGAAGGTGAGAGGAGCAGAGGGAAACAGCAAGTAATGTGCCTGACAAGATTGTGTAAATGAATGGCAGAGCATGAACTGGGAAAGTTTTCATGCTTTGCTTTGTTTTATGGTATATCAACATCAAAGAGCCATAATGCCAAAAAAGATTTTTTTTGTTTTAGTTTGATTTGTTTTACTCAATGGATTATTTAATGATGACAAGATTTTTATTGCTGGTAATATTTTTTCAAAAATGTATTGCTGGTAATATTTTGTTTGTAATAATTTTCCTTCAAAAATGTATTGCTGGTAATGATTTTTTCTTCATAAAAGTATTGCTAGTAAAAATGTTTTCTTGAATATGTATTTCTGGTAATAATTTTTCCCTCAAAAATGCATTGCTGGTATTAAAACCTATTTTTACACCACCACGGCATTTTGATCCCTGTTTGGGGGTCAACCATGCACCCATAGTTGGGACCCAAACAGGTGCCTCCACCCCAGGCCAGGGTGGACCTGGGAACACCAGCAACCAAGAGGCGGCCCCATGCTCCTCGAAACCTCCCGATCAGAGGCCCTGTTGCCTGATGCAGTTTATAGTCCCACCCAGTACGCAGATGTAGTTTATCATCGTACCCAGGATGAACTGACCCCAATTAATTATTTTAACTATTTGCCCATAGTTGGGACCCTAACAGGTGCTACCACCATGGGTCAGGGTGAACCTGGAAGCAGCAGCAATCAAAAGATGGTTCCACCCTCCTCAAACCTCCTAATCAGAGGCCTTGGTGCCGGATGTAATTTAATGTCTTATGCAAATGCAATTTATTATATTACCCAGGACAGAACTGGGTGAGATAGTAAGGGGACAAACATTGCCTAAAACTACAAAGGATAGGAGGTTGTGGAGAGGCATGATCACCCACATATAAAAGAAAAGTTACTGGACAAAAAGGGATGGTAAAGAAACAAAAGCTACTCAGATCAGCAGAGGACAGAAAGCAATGAAGATCCATGATTGCTGGCTTCCTTGAAAGGATATGGCATATAATAGTAATTGGGTTACATTGGCTAATTTTATGACATATCAACTCTTGTTTAGTTATTTAATGTTGAATTCTTGTATGAGGCACAGATGCGCACACACACACGCACATATATATATGTTTTAAGACATTTTTTTATGTTTATATGTTCTTTTTATAGATACAAATATTTAAGTAATGATATATTTAAATATAAAAAAAATGTCTTAAAATAATTGTCGGACTTTGTCCATTTCATAATGTGTGACATCATTTGTTTACATTTGGATACGCATCGAGCAGATGTGATTATACGAGAGAAAATCTTGGAGAATTGTAGTTTAAAAACAGTAAAATCGACCTTGCTAACCAAAACACTCCTCTGTGGCTCAATCAGTAAAAGCATGTTAGGCTATATGACAGTTCTGTATAGGATACAGGTTCGATTCTTGTCGGAGGATGCATATTTTCTATGAAAATTTCTCAGACATTCAGGCTGGTAAATGTCATTAATTCTGTTTATTATAAACAGAGCATTAACTTAAATATTTGTATCTATAAAAAAGAACGTAAAACATAAAAAAATGTCTTAAAACAATTGTTGAACTTTGCCCATTTCATAATATATATATATATATATATATATATATATATATATATATATATATATATATATTTTATGACCACAACATTATCAAGATGTCTTACACATCATTTGTTGGATGCACATTCTATTGCATAACAACTAAAAAGACATTCCTGTTCACCTTCCCAATACACAAAAATACTTGTCGACAACACCAATATACTATACCATGAAAATAATAAACAAAAAATCAAAGCCATCTATATAAACCAATCAACAAAATTTATAAATATAGCAATAACATAGTAAAGTGCATATAACATTTAATACCATTTTACATTTCTACCAATTTTTGGTCAGCTCCCTTATATTGAAATGTTTGTTTTGCAAAAAGTTCCATAGCTACAACAGATAAATCTTAAATTTTAAAATAATTGCAGAAGCCATTCACATGTGTTTTTAAAAATCACCATCACAACAGAATGCAGATTTTATTGCAGTTACAATAAGTTTGTCTTTCTAAATGACCCCTGGTGATGATCTTGGAAAAGATTGAAAGTACTTGGGTTAAAAAATTATGGTGCCTCCCTTCATGAATTTCATTTTAACATCAAGACACTGATTAGACAACTGGAAAGGATCAGTATAAAAATAAGTAAACACAATATGTCTATATTATTCAATGAAACATGTTTGAATGAAGATATGCTGCCTATATATATATATATATATATATATATATATATATATATATATTAGACATGCATAATTTAGCTCTTGAAAATATATTTTCAATTGAACACTGTTTAACAACAAGCTAATTCTAAAAACAATGGTCACCTGCATAAATGCGAGGCTCTTCAGCAAAATGAATGGAGCACTATGGCTTCTTGGCGTTTGTATTTCTAAAAGCAATATGCTAGATTTGGCTGTCTGTCGAGTGAAGATGTCTCAGTGGTAGAAGCTCTGACTGACATCAAATCAGTTGGGTTTCAATCTGGGCTTGAGGCATTCAGTTGTCTAGTCACACTGAGGAACTGTGATACAGCAAAACAGTACTGTCTGTGAATGAGATTTATATATATATATATATATATATATATATATATAAGAGGTTGCATAATGGAGAATAAGTCCTCCACAAAACCACATAAACAATTTTGAATTCTATCAAGATTGGAATGTGAGGATTGAGTAGTTCCAACCAAAGCATGGCAACACTGTTCCATTTTTGGTCTAATCTAACTTTTCTAAAGATAAAGTATGTCAGAAGGATTTAGATACTTCCTGGAGCAATAGAATAATCTTGCAATTTCTCAAGTGTTTTTTGCAATGCCAAGTTCTACCCACAGTCTGAAGAACTTCCAAACAAGATAGCTTTCTATGTGCGTCCAAAGGAGGACCTATTTTGAAAGAGAATTATGGGTAGAAAAAGAGACACTAACTCCACAAAATTGTTCCCCTTGGCTTTGAGAGACTTTATGGTTTATGGCTAAAATCTTTCAGTAATTATGACATGAATTACAACAGACATTACACTTTGATCAACACTTGTATATTTTTTATAATCATTTATTTACTAAATAATATAAATTACAAATATAACTATTTACACAATATAATAAAAAAAATTTGTGGCTTTAAGAATAGCATAGCATTTTGTTTTTACTGTTTGAAATTTAGGCAAAGTCTAGCACACATGCCTGCTAAAAAATTATGTGTTGAAAGGACGTCTTTCTTCTGACACCACTACTATTATAATTTAATTTAAATAAACACAATAACAAGTAATTATAATTGTGTAGTAATTGACCATGGTTAAGTGTAATTGAAAAAATTCTCAATAAACAGAATTGATACAGAAAAGTGATAGGGAAAAAGTTGCATAATATGTTTTAGATGCATCAAGAGTGGTCTTCAGTGATGCACTGTCCTTATCACCAATTTTGGGCGAAATTTTTGCATCATATCGGCTCAAACAGCAACCCTGACCTGACTCCAGACAAGTCTAGCCACCTCCTTGAAAGTGTTGTGCTACACACGTCAACAGTGCAAAGAAATATTTTGATATGGCTAAGAGTCCAACCATTCTTATTGACATGCATCAATCAGTGTCAGCCAATGGAAAAAAGGCTTTTCATGCTCCCCTCCATTATACTGGTGTCTTTTTACTTCATTTCATTTGGATTTAAGCTACTTCTCCCAAGCTGATCTCTTTCTGGCATAGTTTAATCCAAATGTTTTATACATTTTAAATACTAATCCCATAACAATACTAACTCTTTAACTAAACCTGCATGCGTACCAAACCCAAATCTATCCTATATACTAGCACTTATGCTTCCCCAAAAATTAGTCTAACTTACCACTTATAGTAGCGTTTCTAAAAAAAAAAAAAAAATACTAAAATACTAAGCAAACAATATGTATATATGCAAGTCATAACTAGGCTAAGCAGCAAAAATAAGGTAAAAACAAAAGTTCATAAAGTAAGAATTGTGTTCACACATAAAAGGGATAAAGTCAAGTGACTATAACATTCTGACTGCAACGCAAGAAAGAACAAAAGAAAAATATGGTAGATGAGACCAAATGGTTCATTCGTATTGGTTAGAAAGAAATCCCAGGAAGCACCTGTGGAATTTTGTTTATAAATTTGGGGAGGGAGATGTTCTTAGCTGTCATTGAAACCAGAAATAATTATTAATTTTGAAATTAATAATTAATTTTCTTTCATTTGCTCTCACAACATAATTTCCCTAAAAAAGTAGCATTTTTTCTAAATTTATAATTACAATTACTCATCATTATATTTAAGTTTTCTTGTTCAGAGATTTTTATAAATTTCTAAATACAATTTGTTTCCATAGTTTTTTTTTTGTATAATATGGTACATAAATATTATATTGTGATCAGTGAACTTATTTTTTATCATCTTGTAAGTATAAAATTATTCTTGTAAATAAACAATCTCAAAAGAACAATAGAGAGACAATCTCATGTGAACAATAATGTTTCTTTATTAATATATATTAATTCTCTAGAATAAAGAGAATGCATATATACTGTTTCGTGTTTGGATTTTATTAAAATTCTAAAAATAGCTTTTTAAAACAATAAAAATTATTGAGGCAGGACACAATAATAGTGGATGTCAAGAGAAAACCGATCCTATTGGCATACATTTTTTTTTGCAGGCACATTTGTTAAACTTTGCCAAAATTTATTTCTCTCTTCAATTTAATTTTACTCAACATTGTCAAATTTTCAATTAATTTAACTCACATAAATTTGTCTCAAGACACTTGGCACCTGCAATTTGGTCAGATTACTCATTTGATTGTTGACGTACATGGCCATGTCCATAAGATCACCAATTCGAATCCTCTGACTGGATATAACGTCACGGATACGGTCCAGTTTGTCATAGTAGTAGTTAATATGCTTAGCATATGTACTGCAAAGATAAAATGAATAGAATTTTTGAATTTCCAAAATATAATAAGCACTCATAAAGATTCAATAGATCCTCTCTGTACTCATAAAAAAATACAAAGGCAAAAGCCACACATGGTAGAGGGTTATCGAATAAGATTTGTGGTATAAGAGGAAAAAGTAGGATATTAGGAAAAGGAGGATAGATAACAATGACCCTGGATTTGAAGAGGTTAATATTATATTATTTGGGGAAGGGTCCATGCCTGAGGCTGTTCCACAAAGTGTTAAGTAACGTCAACACTGGTAAGTACTTTGATGCGTGACCACTTGGGAATACCAGTTGTTGTAAGCTTGGATGTGTGGTTGGTGTACTGGATTGTTAATTGGACAGCAGAGTTCCAATTCCCATTGGAATCATTATATTGACATGCATTTTGGGAAAGGTATGAATCAAACTTTTCCCCCCAGCTATGGCTTAATTAGTAAAACTTGTACTACTAAATCATTATTATCTCAAAAAAAATTCTTATAATCTAAAAATACAGGCTGTGATGGATAAATTGTCATCTAAATTACACAAAAATGTAAATAACACTGACATCGCATTTTAACAGATATATTTATCAAAATTACACAAATATATCTTGAAATAGTAAAGAGTAAATTTATTCAATAACGTCACCATTGGCTTCAACCACAACTTCCGGATGACTTTGAAATCTCCTGCATTTCTTCTGGAAGGTTTCCTTGTTTAAGTTGGTGAATGCTGCCATAATCCTTGCCATCAGTTCATCTTTGTCTTACAAAGAGTTTTGTTCGTCTCTCACTCAAGTGAACCCCACACATCATAATCAATGGTGTTGCAGCCTTGGGAATTTGGTTGTCAGATATAAGGGGTGATGTGATTGCAGAAATTGTCTGACAGCCATGACTGGGTTGTCCTGCTTGTGTGGATTGTCTTCCAGCAGCCACTCTCTTGACCCAGGGCAGCACTATCTCATCAAGGCACTTGATGTAGGCCTCTGTGTTGAGTCTGAAGCCCTCACCAACAAATTTGGGAGTCCTTATCAGAATGATCAGAGTGAGTTTTCCAAGTTGCCATACCTTCGTAATCACCATTAGACTCGTACAACTCTTTCTGAATCCTTTGCACTGTCCTCAAATTGACACCCAAACACTCTGAAATGTTTGTATTAGAGCTTCCAGTGTCAATGTCAAACAATACAGCATGCCATTTCCAGATTGAATTGTGTCATGTGCACTTTTTCTCACAGACAGTGCCCAACTGACTCTACTATACTGTGCTGTTGGCAAAATCAAAATGCGCATGCACAAAATTCAAAATATAAAATAGCGACAATTTACCCATCGCACCCTGTATTTTTCTCCTTCTTACAAACAAAATATGAAGATAATAAGGGTGATTCAACCCCATGGACACAGCATGGTGGGTCTTGACTAAAAAGGGCCAAATTGGTTGAACTAAAGAATGGAGTTCATTTGAACATTTACCATATAAATAGCAACAGAATATCAATAGGCTTGCAATGTTTTGTCTGTGGGAAAGAAGCTGCAAAGTGGAGAATGTTTTCCTCTACAAGACTGCGAAAGCTGCATGACATGTCCCAGTTGTAAAGGTCTGAACCAATGGAACAAAGGAATGGAGTTCATCTGAATATTTGCCATGGAAATAACACGACTAGTGATAGGCTGACAATATTGCATTTGTAGAGAAAGTTCTGTAGAGTGAGAAATAATTAATCATCCACAATGTTGCATAGACTCTTTTGAAGAACTGTCATTATTGGAAAGTGGGGATTAGGCAGATCCAGCGACAGACTTTGTTTCCACCATTTTTATTTCAAAATATTATACTTCAATTTGTTACTCAGTTCCAACTAATAAATAATAATGTGTGTTCAAATTTACTTCCAGCAGAGGTAAAAAAAAAAAATCATATCATTATTTAGTTACATTATTTACCTTCAGACTAATATCCTCATCTTTGTTGTTATTATCACAAAGTTTCAGTCATTGTGTTCCCCAACCTTCCTCAGGTGCCTGTTAATCTGGGTAACCTTCATGAAATTTCAAACTGAAACCTTTACTTAAACTTCACAGTTGTGCTGTCCATGTTTAAGGATAACTTCTCATTTTAGCAGTGCTCAGTTATTGCTTGCCCTTTTGTCATTCTTAACCATTAGACTATTATTCCAGCCAAGAGGAGTAAAGGGTCGGTTTGTGAATTTGGTGGTATAGTAATTGTGAGTTCAATCTCTGGGCTTGGTAGTAGAGACTCAGATGAAAAGAGAGCTAACAATAACTGAGCAGTACAAAAAAAGAGAACAAAATGAGAGATCCCTAGACATGAGCAACCTTCCCCCACCCACCAATATAGATTAAATAAAAAATTCAGCTTACAATTCCCTGAAAGGTTACTCAGATTAACAGCTGAAAATTGTGATGATAATAACAACAAAGATGAGGATATTAGTCCAAACGTAAATAATGGTGAAGCCTCATCCAAAAAATTCAGATGGAAGAAATCATTCCAGTTAGAAATGAGTTTTCAAATTGACAGACCAAGGAATTATGTGCAGACTGATTTTTTAGATGATCATGATACAGGTAGTGATTGATTGCTACAGTTTTCAGTTTTTCAAGACTGCTCTCTCAAGGCTTGAGAATCCCAGTCTACCTTGCTGTTTTACTCATAATTGAGAAAAACTAGTTATTACCTTCCATGAAATTCAGGCATATGTTTTAATTTTTGTTAAATTGTATTTTGAAATAGATGAAATGAACAAAAATATTTTTGAATATAAAAAAAATCCAAATTTAATTTTTTTCTAAATTCTGAAAATGTTTTATTAGTTTTTTTTTTTTTTTAATGTTTTAATGTTCATTGATAAACTTTTGTATAAACTTAAAGTATACTTGTTCTTACTTATATGGCTGCCTTGTATCATAAAATGTCAAAGAATTTAAAGAATGTTAAATTTAATTCTAATTGTTTTAATTATTTATTTTTAATCATATCGCCCATACAAGGCAGTAAGGCCACTAAGACACAAGGAGGTTGCTGAGTTTGAAAGAATAAGAAAAAAAAGAAAAACATTATTAAGGAACAAGAGCAATAGAAGAGAAGTCAAGAGGACAGCAGGTAACGATTGACAATGCATTTGAATTTTTGCAGATTAAAGTTGGCTGGAAAGCATGGAGCTGGAAAAATGAGAAGTGTCAGAAAAACTCTTAGCATAGAATTTATGGTTACATCTAGCCAATTCAAGTTAAATTTTGCATTATTGTTCACCCCAAAGAAAGCCCAAGAGCCACTCAATGAACAGAGTTACTGAACGAGATTGTTTTATGCACCTAAGAGGAAGATTTGATTGATTCATTTTCTACAGCTCATCAACCCTTTGCAGGTTATTTAAAACCAGAAAATTGTAGAATTGTAGATTGTAAGAATTTTGGGGGAGATAATAATGGTTTAGTGATACAAGTTTTACTAATTAACCCATAGCTGAGGGAGAAGAGTTGGATTCCTACCTTTCCCAAAGGTATTTTCATGAAAGTGAATATAATGAACCTAAATGGAATCCAGATCTCCAATTAACAATTCAGAACCAATGTCCATTACACCACCCACATTTCCAAGTTTACAGCACCTGGTATTCCCTAGCGGTCTCTTATACAAAAAGCAAGTAAGAGAGTCTCTTATACAAAAAGCAAGTAAGAGAGTCTCTTATACAAAAAGCAAGTAAGAGAGTCTCTTATACAAAAAGCAAGTAAGAGAGTCTCTTATACAAAAAGCAAGTAAGAGAGTCTCTTATACAAAAAGCAAGTAAGAGAGTCTCTTATACAAAAAGCAAAAAGAGGTGAAAAGCAAAACTGAAATATCTACTCACTGATTCAAATGGAAGAATTTGTTTCGCATGTGCTTCATCATCCGAAGCAAAATTAAAGCCTCTCGATTAAGTCCACTGTAGTCTCTTTTTACAAAGGCTGTTATGTTTGGTATGGCACCTGGTGTTGGTGAAGGTCCTTGTTCATAAAGACGCTCATATAAACGCCGGTGAAATGCGCTAATGGACAATACAAGATCTGCAAAATTAATATCCAATGAAAAATAGAATTGCAACAAAACACCTTCAGGTAATTTTAGACCAACAATTTTGTTTTTTGACATTGTTATGGTACCTTACCCATGATAACATAATGCACTATTCCATATGTAATAAATACTGCGCATCAAGAGGAAGCAGCGAGTTCAGTTTGAAGTCTGGTGTGAAGCCTGTCTGTCAGTCAGTCAGTTGAGTCAGAGGCAGTCTGAAACAGAGTCGCATTCAGACAATTACTACTAAACCTGATTCTTCGTACTAACACTTTCTACCTCTCTGTATATATTCCTGTTTGTAATATATCTGTGTTATTCCATATCCGTATTCGAGTTCTTTATTGGTTCTACCTTGGACTATCACCATGGTACAAGGAACCGGACCATAACAGACATAATAAATAAAATCAGAACTTCTGTAAATCAAAAAGAAAATTTCAAACGTATACCTTTAAGTTTCAACTTAAGGACATATCACCAAAGTTAAGCAATGTCAAAACTGATCAGTACCTAGATGGGTAAACACTTGGAAATACCAGGTGCTGTAAGCTTGGATGTGTGGGTGGTGTAATGGATAATTGGTAATTGGAGAGTTGAGTTCCAATTCCAGTTGGATTTGTTATATTCACTTTCATGCAAATGTAAGCAAGTTCTGGTATCTTAGCAAAGTCTTCTGACATCAATGACATGTGACGCCAAGTGCTGAGCATTTTGGACCAAATCCAATCTCTCAGTTTGTAGTAAATATTCCAGAATAACAGTGATATTTGTTAGAATAAATTATACTGAAAATAGTCTTCACTAAAGGCTTTATTCTAACAAAATCTGTTAGTTACATACTCAACAAAATAAGAAAATAAAAACTGCAATATATAAATAAAATTCAGGATAGGAATAGTCCACTCCAGATAGCAGTGGCAGGAGTTGATGGACTATGCCAATTATTTACAACAGTCAGCAAAAGGAAATATCATTACAGTTGTGATAACAACAACAAAGATGTGGACAATAGTCAAAATGTAAATAACTCATCACAGAAATTCAAACAGAAATCAATTTCATTTTATATATATCTCAAATTCAGTTATATTTTCTAAATATGGAGCTCAGCATTTATAGACAAGGGCCCTCCTCTCCATTGGTCATGATGACCTGCAGTTCTTACACATTTAACACTGTTTTGTCTAATAGTTGTTTGACAGAAGTTTTTTTTTTTTTTTTTTTTTTTCCTAATCAGCCTCAACTACTTTTGCCATGAGTTAATTACCACAGCAATACATTAGCAACAAGATCTTTTTGGTACCAGCAATGTCCTACAGATCTTAAATAGATTAAGGATTTGTCAGACCTTACTGACACCAAAAAAGAAAAGCTTCTCATTGTTTCAGAAATGGAAAGGATTTATCATCAGAGCCACTGCTACTTGCATTTTTTGTTTGTTTGTTTTTTATTTTTACAGTGGTGATGTTCACCCTGTACAATTCCCGGGAGCCACTCAAGGTAGAGGGTTACAAAGTTACAGTCTATATGGATATGCGGGGAAGATAACAGTTAATCCTAGACTTGAACAGGCCAAGATTATAGTGATCAGAGAAAACACTCATAGGAGTCAGTTCCAGAGCAGCAAAATATGAAGGGAATGACACTACAATGTGCGCAGCATGCTGGGTCTTAGCCATGAAGGTTAGAACTGATGGAACTAAAGAATGTAGTTTGTCTGAGCACTTTCAGCAGTGGAGGGTTTACAAAATTTGGTCTGTGGGAAAGGGGTTGTAGGCTGGAAAATAATTTGTCACCCACAAGGATGCAAAGACACTTTTGGACTCTATCAAGACTGGAAAGTGAAGACTGGGCAGATTCAGCCCACATATGACAGCAGTACTCTATTTTAATCCTGATCTGGCTCTTGTAAAGATAGAAGATAGCCCAAGGAGTCAGGGTCTTACTAGAACGGCACAGGGAACTGACCATTTTTCCAGCATCTTTAGATTGTATGTAAAAGCTCCACTTGAGATCCAAGTTTAAGGCCTAATTGTTATCCAAGGCATGGGGCCTCCATGAGGGAACATACATTCATCATTATTGGCAATAACTCAGGGTCCAATCAGTAATGATGGAATGTAACCAGCCAGTCTCCCCCCTCCCCTACTGAAACATTAAAGTCAGAGGAGAGATCAGCTGCCAATTTCTGGTCATCTAGAGTTTTGGAGACACACCCATATACCAATGTATCATCATCATAGATATTCACAAATGATCAGTGTATACTCTTAAGCAGGTCATTTATGTAAAGTACAAAGAGTCATCCCTCATCCAGCTAGGTCAGAGGAGAGATTGGCAGCCAAGCTCTGATCATCAAGGGTTTTGGAGACACACCCATATACCATTGTCTCATAAGCATAGATATTCACAAATGATCAGTGTATACTCTTAGGCAGATCATTTATGTAAAGTAAAAAGAGGGTTTTTTAAAAATGCCTACACTTCTTAAGAACAGCCAAGAGCATTCAACTTTTTAATATTAGAAATTATGCATAGAATCTATATAGAAAGAGAATATTTACCATAAATGTTGTTGTTCAGTTCAACGATATCTTCAATGTCATCATGAGTATTCGATATCAAATGACTGGCATCATCCTTAATTGCTGAGTGTTTGTTAACAATCTATAATTTTAAAAATTTAGAAAAGGAAAAAATCGTATTAATGGTGAATTCCAATCAGTAACTTTTATATTTACCAAACTTAGTTTGTGAGAAAAAGAAATAAAAGCAATAAATAAAATAATAATAAAGAAAAAAAGAAATTAATTTTCCCATGATACAAAGATAAAAGAACCTTAAAAGGATTTTTGGTCATCTCTGCAATTTTTTGACCTCATTTCTAGAAAGGACAGAATCTTTCGCTTTTCCATTTTCCAATGACATTGTTCAGACACCTTTTAGCAGCCCTACTCATGAAGTAAATGAACTGGTCATTCTAACTCAGTGCAAAGTTGACTTGAGCTTGACCAATTTAACCATTGTTATCTTAACTTACTTCTGAACCAAAAAGGAAAAATGAGCATAATCAAGAAACACTAAGAACTTTGTTTCACTATGGTCATCCTAAAAAGAATAAACGTCCATAGTATAAATTCAAGTTTTGTATGCATTATCTTTAATGAAACATGTATAAAAGAGGGATTGCTACCTTAATAAACAATTATATATAATAATAAATAGACATTTTTTCCTTACCAGTAGCACTACTCTGAGTTTTATGCACAACGCAATCTTCCTGTGCTGGCTGAAAACTCCTTTTACGCTGCACCTGAAGATTGTGTTGTGCATGAAACTCAGAGAAGTGCTACTGGTGAGGCAAAAAATCCATATTTATTATTAATATAAATTATAGTTCTGTTATTATACATTGAGCACTATTTTATTAGCACTAGCACTCACTATATTTATTTATATATATATATTTCTTTAAGCCAGAGAGTGCATATTTGTCTTAATAAGATTTCTTGAATATTCAGGCCAATAAACAAGAATAAATGAATATACTTTTTAATGAATAAATGGAACAACTACTCAAATATGGGTATCCACTAAAAATAATGTTCATATATATATATATATATATATATATATATATATATATATATATATATATATATATATTATATATATATATATATATATATATATAAAAAAAAAGAAAACCATTGATTTTAATTTTAAAAGTCTATATACCCTTTCGTTATTTTCATCAGTGTTTCAATCGTTTGCTTAGCAAAATCAAATATTAACGATATTAATCCAATGATTGTCTCTAAAATGAGATTATATACAAAAAGGGCCTTAGAGACTTTTAAAATTAAAATCAATGGTTTCTTTGTTTTTAAAACTATTTATAAATTTTGTACCTCCAAACATTTGTTTATATATATATATATATATATATATATATATATATATATAGGATGTATCAAAAAAAAATGCCTTTACAAACTTTGGGAATGGGTTCCTCTGACGAAAACCAGGACAAAAGTCCATATAAAAAATGTTTGCAAATCCTTCATTTTTGAGTTATTAAGCTTAAAGAAAGTTTACAGTAGATGGCGCTGTGTTGCTATGTAGACTAGGGTTACATTTGTCATTCGTGTACATTTGTGGTTAGTCTGTCTTCAATGTTTAACATGTGTAGTAGTGACTTAACTGAGAAGTGTTCCGTTTAACAATTGCAGGATATTCATATCATGGGTGAGCAGATATGATTTTTACAAATGGTCGCATGAATGGTAACAGACATAAGGCTGCATCGCTGTATCAGATTGTGTTTCCAGACCAAAAGCAGCCGAATCCTCCAATCTTTGCTGCTGTTTATTGTAGCATTGCTGTGACTGGACCCATGGCACCACAAACTATGGATCGAGGAAGACTGAGATCCACTTGTATATCTGACCACAAAGAACACATTCTACATGCTGTTGGAGACTATTCAGGTATCATCCCACGTCAAGTTAGCATGTTGTACATCTCATAGTACCGCATGGAGGGTACTTCAAGAGCAGCTCCTGTATCCCTATCATTTGCAATGTGTGTATAGTCTTTCACCCTCTCATCGCTCAGCATAGAATTTTTGCCGATCATTTATTGCACAAGCTGCCAATCTGCTGTTTGTCTTTTCAGTTTTGTTTACAGATGAGGCAACATTTAGCAGAGATGGAATAAAAAGTTACACAACTAACATTCATTCATGCCTTGACTACATTAATTTAAACATACTTGATTGGCCATTAGGTCTCATTGTTTTACTGTTGAAATAGCTAGATTTAACCCTAAGTTTTATTCTAATAGTTTCTTTTCTTGCACTTCTCACCTCTGGAACTCTTCTGATTTATTGCTTCCTATCACCTACAATCTTCAAAAATTTAAATGCAATGTCAATCACCATCTTCTATCTTCCTGAAGACTGTTCTTTTATTGTCCTTTCTCCTCACTAAAGTTTTCACATTTTCTTTCACTTCCAGTAACCCCTTGCATCTTAGTGGCATTATCACCTTGCTTGGGGCAAAATGATTTTTTAAAAAAAACAAAAATAAAAAAGGTTACCAACTGATGCAGCTTTATTTTGGTAAAATAAAAATAAATTCTCCTTAGCATATCTATATATGTTGAGGAGATAACATTTATTTAATGGGTAATATACCAATAGAATGTGTAGATAGTGTAATGGGAAGAGGAGACTAAAAACCAAGATCAAGTTCCCACCTCATCACTAATACCCCTGAGAAAAGCATGAATTTATTCCATCACCCCAATCTAAATACTAAACAGCAGAGGAGACAGAGTTCTTTAGCCTTGGTTGGCAACCAGTACAAGAGAAGAACAATTCTAAATTCAAAACTATAGAGAAGGTAATGGGAAACTACTACACAATTTTTCCTGAGAAGTCAATTCATAAAGAAAAAGAATCTGTGGTGAGCCACAATCACACAAAGTGACACAAGGCATGCTAAAATGAACAACCGTTTTATTCAAGCTCCATTTGATCTATTTTACTCGCAGCATTCCCTAGTGAGACTGGAAAGGCATACAAATCATCATCAACATTGTTGTTATAGAACAGTTTTCATTATTTTATATTTGATGAAAAAAAATTTAGCAAATATATTTTCAACTGCACAAACTCTCAAAGTTATGTAGAGCTCAAAGTTTGTATTATCACTCCAACTCCAGGTCCACCTCACTCCTGTTGGAGGAACCCCTCCTTGATTGACCATGTCTTCAGAGCAGGGCAGGCACATACTATTCCAAACAGGAGAGTAACCCAAGCCTGATTGGGGGCACAGGGCAGTGCTTTGTGACCCTTACTATCTTATCAACATTTGCTTTTTTTTGCCTACTTTACAAATTAAACTGAGCACAACTGACTATTAAAGATAAACAATTTTTGTGAATTTTATCATCATTCTGAAATGGTTATTTTTCTTTCCTTTTGTTCAAATCTATGAACATGTTTTATTTATGCTAAGTATCGAAAAAAAAAAACTCTATATAAAATTCATTATTTTTTATCTATAATGTGGAACGTTAAAATTAGTCGACTTTTTAAGAAGAAAAATCTCAAGTTGATGTTAAAAACTGCTGTAAAACATTGTTGATTTATTTAAGATGGAATGATCTATTATGACATGTCTCTAATTTGTATTTCAATACATTGTATTTATTTTCAATTTTTCTAGTTGAATTGCTCACCTGTATTTCATATGATCCATTACTGTACATCGGTTACAATAAAATTTGTATTTTATATGAATACTACCTTATGAAAATTGAGATGTAGTAGAGTGGTGGGTGGGGGCACAAGACCATTGCACCAGCCCTGCTTCAGGGATGTAGATGTACTCACCAAACTTGGCCAACTTCAAGTTGGTGGGACTATTTAACCCATAGTTGGAGGTTTTGTATTCAGAGTTGTCCTTCTCTTAGACCAGTTGCCAATCATAGTACCCAGTCTGTTCTTCTATTTATCCACAGAAGATTTGGATTCATATCTTTTCCGAGGCTATTTGTATGTGAGTGAGTGTAACAAATTTGACTCTCCAATTCCTCAATCTGAGTCACTATTACTAGACTTCACCATCTCTGTGCATTTTTCCTACTTATGATTAATTCAAAAGTTTTTCTATAAATTAATATGGCATTCTTCTTCTTCTTTCATGTGTCACATGTGATGTGGGTGATCATGGCTCTTCACAACTTCCTAACCCTTGATTCTTTACCATGCTTCTTTATCTTTCTGCTCTCCATCCACACAAAACTAGGTTAATTGTTGCTTCTCTCTGTCCCACCTCTGCCTTCAAAGTACCTTGTAAGTGTCAAATTCTCCAAGCTCTCCCTACTCATTATGTCAAATTTCAACTGTATTCTTCTGATTTTAATTAAAAGTGTCCTTTTAATTCCCATTCTCATATAATTTAATTTAGGTACCTCCACAGATTCACAATATCTAAGGTTTAAAATGAATTTTTAAAAATGAAAAATCTTTCTTGAAGCTTAGTTACTTCCAGTAATTTGCTGAAAAAAAGAGCATACCATGATGACAAAAATGACCCGAACTTGATAAAAACAATGTTTTATCATTAAAATCTTTATGACTGTTAAGAGGAAAGACCAAAGAATTTTTTGATTATTTAAGAATACTTTTTAATCCTTTTAGCACATGCAAAATTTTGGTTAAAAATCTTGTTTTTCTTGCATCAACAGGAGACCATAGATTAGTATAGGAAATTCTAGCATCTTTTATGCAGTGAAAAACACATGAATTTGGAAATTCTTGCAAAAATCAAATAATTTTCGGATTTTAATGAAACTTAAGGGTTATTCATAAATGAATGAAATTTTAGACAAACTTGGTAAAAATATATATATATATATATATATATATATATATATATATATATATATATATATATATATATATATATATTTTACATGTCACCCCACCCACTTAAGAAATTTTAAGAAATGAAATTTTGACCTATTTAATGCCTATATTAGTTAAAAGCAGAACTCCTTGGAGAATTTAAATCATCCTTTTTTTTGTAAAACAGAAACACCAGTTACTGAAAATCTGCTCTGAATCATAAAATAAAAAAATGCAATAAGGCATTTAA